TAGTTTATTGTTTATACACAAAATACTTCGAGAAACGTTTTATTATTAATTATTATGTGTTGGTAATTGTTGATTGATTGTGGACAGAATTATTAATTCAGGCAGGGGATCATTTTTTTGCTGTTGGGGTAATTGTTGATTTGAGAAGAAGAGGTCAAAATACTTTTTTTAAGAGATCTTTTGATGTTTTTGTAGTTGGTGAGGTGAAATGGGTCAATAGCAGGATTTTTTGACTCATTTTAGATTTTTTCATAGTTTTAAGGGTCGAAGGGATTAGAAGGGATTGATTGGAAAGGGTCATTTGACCCTCAATCCTTCAGGTCTTTAAGGGGCTTCAGGCTTGACCCTCACAATCATTTGACACTTACCCCTGACCCATGAAATGGGTCAAAAATTCGATTATTGGCCCATTTTTAGAATTTTTCATTGTTTTGAGGGTCAAACGGTCTTAAGGGTCAACTGGATCAAGAGGGAATAATTGAAGAGGGTCATTTGACCCTCGTCCAACCCTCAAGATCATTTGACCCTTAACTAAAAACAGAAAAAAAAGTTTTCTGACTTATGTCACGGTCAAAAAGTGTTGAGGGTCAAACGGCCCTTTAGGACGTTTGGAGTTAATTTCAAGTGTCGTTTGCTCTTTAAGACAATTTGATCCTCACAACCATTTGACATTTACAGCTGACCCATTAAATGGGTCAAAAATCCAATTATTGACCCATTTTTAGATTTTTAAAATGGTTTAACGATCAAAAGGTCTCAAGGGTCAAGTGGATGCGGAGCGAGTAGTTAGAAAGGGTCATTTGACCCTCAACAAGTTTTCTGAATTGTGCAGTTTCAGGGTCAAGTGGAGTTGAGGGTCAAACGACCCTTGCGGACTTTCGGAGTTAAGGGTCAAAAGGCATTTAGAAAGTTTAGGGTTAAAAGTCAAATGATCTTAAGGGTCAAACAGGTTTGAACGGAGTGCTTAGAAAGGGTCGTTTGGTCCTCACGACCATTTGACCCTCGATTAAAAACCAAAAATCGTTTCCTAAGTCGGCGGTTGCAGGAGCCAAAGGTTTTAAGGATAAATTGACCCTTAGGAACGTTTGGAATTAAGGGTCAAATGATCTTAAGGGCCACACGGGTTAGAACAGACTGATTAGAAAGGGTCATCTGACCCTTAATCCTGCACTGCTTCAAGGGTCGCTTGACCCTCGCACCCATTTGACCCTTACCTCCGAACCTCATTGAGGGTCGTTTGACCCTTAAAACAAAAAAAAGTTTCCTGAATTGTGCCAAGAATTTTATCTCGCTAATTATAGTTAATTACCTCCATAATTATTGATTTTAGAAGAAAATGTCACAAAAACAAAATTGTTAAAAATTTTCTCAGCTACAAAAAAGGTTTCATGATGTTTTCTCCTATCTCAAATCATTCTCAAGTTATTTGCATAATTATAAAAGCTGTCAGGTGTTATCACTCCCCCGCTGAATTGATTAATCTGCCATAATCAATCAATTAATTATATTTTCCTATCAGAGATAAAAAACATGATTCTACGCACTAATTAACACAGCTCACAAAAGATAAAAAATTCTCTCCTTTCACGTGATTGAATTTTTCTTCAATTTTTACTCTTACACAGTTGTCATTTATTCATTTAATTTGTTAATATTTTTTCGTTTAATTGTCGTGAGGGTCGAAGACGAGAAAATGTGCGCCAGGATCATTACTCAGTTTCAATCGTTACATAAATAAGTGTAAACTCTCGAACCTCTATCAATTTTTTTCCTTCCTTTTTCCACTTTTTTTTATTTCTCTACAGTTAAGGCATGTAGTTCGGTACTTGGGTCGGGTATCCACAATTTTTTTAATACTAGTAATATTATTAATTCATTTTTTTCTCATTATTAGGTCATTCTTAGAATAGGGTGATCTCTCATTGCGTCTTTCAAATATTTAGTTAATTTAATTAGTTAATACCTCGGAGTGTTTAAAATAATGTCGAGTGATTTAATGGGAACGGAATGGAATGGTTTATTCAGTATCTCGATGGATTGGGGATTTTTCCTGAGATTTGTGGATTTGAAAAGCGATTTTCCCTATTCAAAAATTTCCGGAAACTTCAAGTTTTGCCCGGAAAAACATTTTCCCAGCTTTTCTCCAGTTGGAAAACCCTTTGTTAATGTATTTTTCTCATTAAAAAGTTCACATTTTCTTTAGAAAACTAAGGAAAATTCTGGGAAATTTACATTGTCTTTGGAAAACCGAGGAAAATTCGGGAAAATTTTTATGTCATAGTTTTCCATTCTTCTAAAAACCTATTTGAACTCGAAAAACGCCGGAAAAATCTTCGACATTATTCCCAAAAACTCAAAATTTCCGGAAAATGCATGTTTTTATGGAAAACTCAGTTTTACGAAAATTCAATTTTTGTTCTAGAAAAAAATTTTCCTAGCTTTTCAATGGAAAACCCCTTTCTTACTGCATTTTTCCCATTGAAAAATTCCCATTTTCTTTAGAAAACTGAGAAAAATTCTGGAAAAATTATATTTTCTTTATAAAACTGAGGAAAATTCTGAGAAATTCACATTTTCTTTGGAAAACTGAAGAAAATTCTGGAAAATTTTCATGTTATAGTTTTCCCACTCTTCTGAAAACCCATTTAAACCTGTCAAACGCCGAAAAAATCCTCGAACCATTACTTCCAAAAATTCAAAATTTCTGGAAAATTCATGTTTTCATGGAAAACCCAAAATTTTCCGAAAATTCAATTCATGTCCAGAAAAACATTTTTCAGTTTTTCTCCAGTGGGGGAACCCTTTCTTAATGCATTTTTTCCATTGAAAAATTGACATTTTCTTTGGAAAACTAAGGAAAATTGACATTTTCTTCAGAAAACTAAGAAAAATACGCATTATCTGTGGAAAACTGAGAAAAATTCTGAAAAATTCACATTTTCTTTGGAGAACTGAAAAAAATTCTGGAAAAATGTCCGTTCCATAGTTTTTCCACTCCTCTAAGAACCCATTCAAACCCGTAAAACGCCGGAAAAATCCTCGACACACTATTCCCATTGAGCCACTCACTTTCCTCATTCACTCAACCACACGGAAACTATCACACTTGTACAACAACGAAAAAACTGGGAACGAGCGAAGAATGCCTTCTTTCAATGCTGCGGCATAACCACCGGCTATTACTTATCCCTACTACCTTCATGTACACATATCCACAACAGTAAAATTCCGTTCTTGAGTGAAACATAAAAAAATTTCAATTTTTCCCAGCAAACATCGATTTAGAATTATCCATAACAACTGCAAAAATGCAATTAATCATTTTCTCCTCAGTTTTTCTTCATTATCTCGTGAACTACCAGAGAAGCAAAAACCAAAATTTTCTCAAGGGAAAGCCTGGAAAATGTGCGATCCAAAACCCTAGTTATGAACCCATTTTGCCCCTATGGTGTTCGAAAAAATCCCGGAAGTCCATTTTCGTCCGTCGAATGGTTTTTCAGTTATGTTCAGTGAATGAACGGGGCAAAGTGGGTTCATAACCAGTGTTTTGCGTCGGAAATTTTCCCAGCTTTTCGACGAAAAGTTTTTCGTTCCTCTGTCTCGAAAATTTTTCAAGCTAATCCAAAAAAACTGGTACGATGAGCTAGAAAAATTGAAACTTTCCTTGAATTTCCCCTCAATCACTCGAATCAATGATTGTAACGTCAGCAACGACCAGTGATAAACAACAATGTCGTTGTTATCCCTTAAAAACAACAAAAGTATACACCTCACTCCTCCCACACCCCCTAATTACACTTAATTACTCATTAATTTAATTACCTCTGCGTAAGGATATCCAAGTATTTTTTACAATTTGGTACAAAGCACACTATATAATCAACCATTTTCAACATTAAAATTGTCAATTAAATTGCGTGAGAACAGTTTGAAAGAAATAAAATTACATTTTGCCCAGAATTATTAGTTTTTTAAACATTCGTTGGTCATAAATAAATGGTTGGTCATGAAATTGTGTTTTTTAGGCATTACATTGATTTCTGGTGAAATTCTTCTGTTCATAAATTATTTATATAAAATGCTCGTAATTTAAAAAATTGCAATTTTCAAATTATTTCATCAATCTCCCTCCAAAAGTAAACATTCTATTTTTTTCAGATTTTTAAAATGTGTTCAAACGGTTCAATATCGAGATTCAAATTGAGACCTGCAAAGTTTAAATAATAAAATCATTGTAAAATGTGCGGAAATAGACGACACTATAGATCAACCATTTTCAATCATCAAATTTGCCAATTAAATTGCGTGAGAATAATTTGAAAAAAATCATGAATATTCAGCGTCATTAAAATTACATTTTGCCCGGAATTACTACTTTTTTTGTTGTTATAAATAAATAATTGAAATTGTTTTTTCAGGTTCTTTTTTAACGGTTCAGTATCGAGATCTCCAAAGTTTAAATAATAAAATCATTGTAAAATGTGCGGAAATAGACGACACTATATATCAACCATTTTCAATCATCAAATTTACCAATTTAATTGCGTGAGAATAATTTGCAAAAAATCATGAATATTCAGCGCAATTAAAATTATATTTTGCCCAGAATTACTACTTTTTTTGTTGTTATAAATAAATAATTGAAATTGTTTTTTCAGGTTCGTTTTTAACGGTTCAATATCGAGACCTGCAAAGTTTAAATAATAAAATCATTGTAAAATGTGCAGAAATAGATGACACTATAGATCAACCATTTTCAATCATCAAATTTGCCAATTAAATTACGTGAGAATAATTTGAAAAAAATCATGAATGAACATGGAGCTTTGGGTAAAATGAAATGAAAATAGTCAAAGTACTTGAATATCCCAAAAATAAAAAAACCTGCATCCCACGATTTTCCCACTCATCACTTCATTTATTTAATTATTCATCCATTAATCATATTATTCCTCGATCATTACTTCTGCAGCAAAGGCGGATAAATATATTGCATCTCGTTTCGACTAGTATTAGTGCATGATAACATTTTATTTAATGATTACAACACGATTGTTCAATAATTCCCCCTTTCTTTTTTTTCCTCCTTTTTTAAATTCTCGTAATGAAAAAATATCTCCTCCCCATGTCCTCAACAGTCTCGCCAATGGTCCTGAGACTGAATAAATTAATTTAAGTATCGATTTACTCTTTAATGATTTTACATACTAATGCATTAATTAATTAATTAATTATCAATGGAGTACAGTGTTCAATTAATAGTTCAGAGAATTATCACTATTTAGAATCACTCATTGTTTATTTAATGGTTAATTTCGTTTAATTGTCGATTTTTGGGGATTTTAATTGTTAAAAAATTGTTTTAATTGTCTCGAGAGAGGGGAGAATTTTTGAAGTTTTATCTAGTGGTGCCTCGGGCCACTATCAACCGACACACACACATACACACACTCTCGCACACACCACTTTCCGGTCTAGAACTCTTCCTCTTTCTCTTGCTCTCTGATAAAGAATTCGACATTTTTTTTCTCGGCTCCTTTGAGGATTTATCTTCTCCTTCCCTTTGTTGGGCGATGTCAGGGCATTCTGAAAGCATAAACATGTAAAATTGTCTTAGAGTGAAAACCAGAGGAAATCTCCATAATTTTTTTGGTGATAAAAAACAGATTCCCAAAACGAACAAGAAAAATTGATGAAAAAATCGTTTTCGAATTTTCTTCATTATCCGGAGAAGCTGAGGGCGTGGATTGAGGGGGTGGGGGTGGCTGAAAGCATAAACATATAAAATTGTCGTTTAGAGTGAAAACCAGAGGAAATGTTCATAATTTTTTTGGTGATAAAAAACAGATTTCCAAAACGAACTCGAAAAATCTGATGAAAAAATCGTTTTCGTATTTTCTTCATTATCCGGAGAAGCTGAGGGGGTGGCTGAAAGCATAAACATGTAAAATTGTCGTTTAGAGTGAAAACCAGAGGAAATCTTCATAATTTTTTTGGTGATAAAAAACAGATTCCCAAAACGAACAAGAAAAATCTGATGAAAAAATCGTTTTTGTATTTTCTTCATTATCTGGAGAAGCTGAGGGGGTGGATTAAGGGGGTGTGGGGGTGGCTTCATCCGAAAGATGGGAAAGCTCCAGATTCAGACCACTGGACATAAACCCGTTTTGCCCCGATAGTTTCCCTAAACATCACTCCAATGGCTCCCCATTCCCAAACTCAAACAAGTGGATAATCGCATTTTCTGTATATGGCTATAGTTTATGTTGCCGACAAATCGGCAATATGCTTCCGAATGGATTCTCTATTTTTGAAATTTATTACTTTATTTTTTGTGTTGAATATTGATACCCATATGATCCCGTGTGACCCTCATACAATGCCATATTACTCCAATATGACCTCATACAGCCCCTATATGAACCTCATATGAACCCACCTCACTTCATATAACCCCATATGAGCCCATATGAATCCCATATGACCCATATGTCCCATATGAGCCCATTATGACACCGTACGACCTCAGATAACTTCCAAATGACCTCATATAACCCCCATATGACCCCGTACAACTTTTATATGATCCCATATAACCCATATATGACCCCCATATGACCTCCATATGACCTAAAGCTTCATATTGCTACTATGCAACTTAATAAATAGTTATGCTGTTTTCATCATCTTTGCACTTCATCGAGAAAGCATCAAAACAATCTTTTTGAGCCATGATTTCACTGATATGACTGTTAATTTTTCCAGTTTATCGTGAAAAAAAAAAAAAAAAAAAAAAAATCTCACAAACTATATGCTGTAGCTCAACAGTGATAGATACGATCCGCATCATATTCTGATAGAATCAAGAGGCTATCAATACAAATTTTTTAAGCCATGATTCATTTCATTCTGATAACAATTGTTGAACTGAGCGTCGAAAAATCGATTTTTGAAAAAATACCAATATTTCACAAACTCTGTGAATAATTCAACTTTAATTGGTGTCGATAAATAGACCCTATTAACACCTCTATCCATGGAGAAATTCATGGAACTTCATCAAGCTGCTATAAAGAAAATTGCCAACAAAAAATTGAAAAAAAGTACATACACATGCATACATAAAATGGCATATTTAGACTTTTTAGAGCATATTTAGTTACCCTGAAACAAAAATTTGGAAACTTAATTTTGAACGATTACAAAGCTTCCATTCGGAAGCAAAAATCGAATTCGAGATATTCAAAGAACCCCCGGGGCAAAATGGGTTCATGACGAGGTTATTGGATCAGAAATTTCCCCACCTCCCTAACAAGACCACCCCCCCTCCCGACCCCTCCAGATTCCCGAGATAATTATAAAAAAGAAAAGTCAAGTCAAGTCAATTCAAGTTATAAAACTCGAAATTAAAAAAGTTTCAATCCAATAGACATTACCCATTATCCCTGGCCTTTTATTTTTCTAATCCATTTACCTGAGACGATTTAAACTTCCTCAAAGTCCCTCAAAGCCAGCGATACTCTCGAGGTGCAAAACGGTAAACAGAAGGTAAGTGCCTCGAGAAGAAACAATTTCCGTTTAATTCTGGAACAGTTTTATTTTTTTCCACTGTTCTCCTAGAGTAACTCAAACTGATGAACGCAATCACATACATCTGAAGTCACTGTGCAATGCAGCAGCATGGATTTTCAATGATACTGGCAGTCGTTAGTTGTAGCTGCTGATTGTTGTTGTTATTGCGTTGATTATTTTTAGTGTTGTTGGATTGACGACGCGATGAGGATGTGTCGTTTCGGTTGGTTCTAGCTGCCATTGAGACGTAACACCGGGGCTATTGATTCTCGAGGGAGTAGTGACGCGAACGCTTCCAGAAGTTCTTGAAGAAACCCTTTTTCTTTGGTGCATCGCTTGGCTCGCCACCTGAAAATAAACAGATGGAGTTGAATTGAGGAGAATTGTATTGATTTTGTAGAGGATTGACTAGAAAAACGATTAGTGTTGAGGGTCAGAAGACCTTCACGGATGTCTGGAGTTGAGGGTCAAATGACCCTTGATCAAATGGTTTAAGGGCCAACAGACCCTTTGGCGTTGAAGGTCAAATGAACCTTGCCGTCTTTTGAAGGGTCAAACAATCCTTGAGACCGTTTAACGTTGAGGGTCAAATGACCCTTGATCAAAGGATTTAAGGGCCAACAGACCCTTTGGCGTTGAAGGTCAAATAATCCTCGAGAGCGTTTAACGTTGAAGGTCAAATGACCCTTGAGTAAAGGGTTTAACGGCCAACAGACCCTTTGGCGTTGAAGGTCAAATGAACCTTGTCGTCTTTTGGAAGGTCAAACAATCCTCGACAGCGTTTAACATTGAGGGTCAAGTGACCCTTGATCAAATGGTTTAAGGGTCAACAGACCCGTTGGCGTTGAAGGTCAAATGAACCTTGTCGTCTTTTGGAGGGTCAAACAATCCTTGAGAGCGTTTAACGTTGAGATCAAATGACCCTTGATCAAATGGTTTAAGAGCCAACAGACCCTTTGGCGTTGAAGGGCAAATGAACCTTGTCGTCTTTTGGAGGGTCAAACAACCCTTGAGAGAGTTCAACGTTGAGGGTCAAATGACCCTTGATCAAAGGGTTTAAGGGCCAACAGACTCTTTGGCGTTGAAGGTCAAATGAACCTTGCCGTCTTTTGGAGGATCAAACAATCCTCGAAAGCGACGTTGAGGGTTAAATGACCCTTGATCAAAGGGTTTAAGGGCCAATAGACCCTTTGGCGTTTAGGGACATATCACTCTTATTTTATTTTGAATACTTAGGATGCGTTTTATTTTTTATGAAAATTCATGGGAATTTCGGATATTTCTGAAGATGAAAAAAATATGGATCTAGTCAAATGGAGTTATGTATCCGTTCCTCGTATCCGAAAATAAACGACACCAAAATTGTCGACAGAATTAACGTTAGGCGTGCATGAGGGTGAGATATTCTCGTTCCCAATCTTTTCCACCATCTCATCTTTCCAGTCCAGAGTATCCGAAAGTTTGAGAAGTTGAGGGAGAGAAAAAATAAATGTAAAAGGGTATCTCATTTTTCTTATTTTTCTTTGGGATTTTCCGGAGTCTGAACACCTGGAATCCAGGGGGTGGAGGTATAGAGGTTTGATTGCTTTCGGTTGAGATATTTCGGTGGATAATCGAGAAAAAAAAAAGATTAAATTTCAACACCTGAAAATGCTGAACCCTAGGAGAATCAGAGATTGCTGAAGTTGTGCCAATTAAAAATAAATTCGTAAAATTCACGAAGATATGAAAACAAATTTTTATAATTGTACTGTTGGAAATTTTAATGTTTCTCGAGGGAAAGACGACTTTTAGCACAATTCGGCGCTATTCGACCCTCAACTCTAAACGTATTCAAGGGTCTTTTGACCCTTGAAACCATTTGACCCTCAATCCCACAAATCGTCAAGGATCTATTGTCCCTTAAAACCATTACCTTAATCTAACCCTCGTGACCCTTATTCTGACCCTTGTAGCACTTATTCTATCCATCATGACCCTTATTTTTGACCATCGTGATCTTCATTCGGACCCTCATGACCTTTGTGAGCCTTAATTTCGTTGTCTTAATTTCATGTACCAAATGTTTATCACCAGAAGTCAATTTGGATATTTTTAATATAGGGAGTCGCATTGGGAAGCCAGGAAAATTACCGATCCAAATCGCTGGTCATGAACCCATTTTGCCCCCACACTTCCTCGGAAAATTAACATTTAACACTTTAAATCGATTTAACAACAAAAATTTTTCCATGTCCGAAGTTGAAAATTCGAGATATTACAAGAATCCCCGGGGCAAAATGACCAGTGATTTAGATCGGAAATTTCCCCAACTTTTTAACGAGATCGTTAAAATTTTTCTACTTTCGACAATTCTCAAGATAAATAGATTTTTCAACATTCGATGACTTTGAAAATTCATTCTCTCGAGTCTGCACTGGAGGAAACGCAGACAGGAAGCCTGGAGAATCCCCAGGAAATGGAGGAAACGAGGAGTGGTGAATGTAGTTGGAGGCGATGAAATGGGAAGTGAAGGAACTTGGAAATTTTCCATCGTAGGAAGTTGGAAATTCAGGAATTCACGGCAAAGTATGAGATAACTGTTCGTAGACGGGTTTATGCTATATCTATTTGCTACACTTGGGGGGTATATTGATCTGGTGAAGAGTACGCGTACGTTACGCGTCGACTCGATGAACTACATCGTTATCAGTTAATGAATAAAGAAAATGTTAATGAAACAAGTGATAACGGCGAGGTGTTGTCACTTGGGCGCGATTTCTTTCGTCTTTAAAATCCATAATTTTTTTAAATGGTCCTAAATGGTTCTTTATTAAGACTTCAGGCAAAAGCCCATATATATAACTTTTCTTCACACGAAAATTAATCAATTAAATATGGAAATATATTTAAAAAATAATAAAAATAACAGGGAACATATTTGCAATACAGTGTCCCTGAATTTGATACACAATGTCTCTCAATTTGATTATTATCAAGTAACTGCACTAAGAGAAAAAAAAAAAAAGTGTTTCCGTGATTTTCTCGGGGGGTTTGATAGGTGGATACGTGCGGAGGGTCGCATTCGAAAGGGTGGGAATATTTTCGATCCGAAACCCTGGCCATGAACCCATTTTGCCCCAGGTGTTAATGTAAGACCTGAACTTTCACTTTTGAAGGTGAAAATCGCGTTTGTTGAGTTTCACAGGAAATATCGGGGCAAAATGGGTTCATGACCAGTGGTTTGAATGGGAAATTCCCCTGGCTTTCTGATGGCATTGAAAAAATTGTCCTGGGGTTGAGGGCACAGAAGATAATCGTCTTTTTGTTAACGTGGAATTTGGGGGTATTTGTTCGGGTTTTTAGAGATTTTATTTTTTGCTCTGACGATTGATTTGTTGGGGGGATTCCGTGGGTGATTTAATTGGTCCCTTTGTTGAGGTTTCACTGGAGCTCTGGATAAGACAATGGAAAGAAATTACGGGGATAGTTGGGATTTGCGAGAGGGGGCAGGGGGGAGAACAAAAGAGATACTTTGGAATAAAGACATTTGAATGTGATTCGAGGTGGTCAGGGCGGAAGTTGGGGCTACTTTGAATGCAGGCAGGGGATCGCTACGCGTCCGGCATTCGGTTTAATGTGGTTTATGTAAGTGAGGTTCGATGTAATGAAAAATGGCTCGAGAAAGGATTATTAAATCGAGGAATATGAATTTTTGCAGTTGAATGTAGATGAAATTTCTGCTGAATCGAAAGGAACGTTCTTCGTAATTACGCGATTTTCTCAGGAATACGTGGGTTTAGGGCAAAATGTCAAAAGAAATTTCTTGTAGAGAATTAAATTTCATACAAAAATGACTTATGAGATTTTTTTCTATCTCCGGCCACTACCGACATAACTGCCGAATAAACAACTGAAAAGAAATCTCACATTTGGATTGACTCGTTTTATCTGTTTTTAATTGTTTAATTATCTCGGTAATGAGTGGTTTCAGAGCAAAGTATTATAAAACATTTTTTGTAAGAAATTTAATTATCTACAAAAAATGTATTTGACATTTCCTTCTAACTGTACTCCCCACCGAGATAATTACCAAAAATAAAAATTTGTCGTAAACGTTGCACTTGTCATTAATCGTCATACCTCTCATTAATTGTTAATTATCTTTTTTTTTTTGTTATATTTATTTGCTCAAAACTTTACATGTTTATACAGCATAAAAAAAAAAAAGGGAAGAAGTTAATTATCTCGGTAACGATCGATTTTAGGAGAAGAGGTATCAGAACCTTTTTAGTGGAGCATTAAATTTCCCACAAAAAAGTCTCTCAACATTTTCTTCCAATTTCAGTTCCTATCGAGATAACTGACCACTCAAGAACACCTGTCAAATTAACTCATTCTATTTCATTCCCATTATCTCAGTTACGTTTTACTACGTCACCACTGAAATATTCATGACTCCGGAGTAATTTCAGACACTAGTACTCACCGGAGTACGGACCTGATGGAAATACATTGTCCTTGCCTGACCCCTTGGCCTCCTTTCCACTTCCTAAAAAAAAAAGATTAAAAACCCGTCAGTAAATCCATGAAGTGAAATATTTGATGACATTCATTACCGCATGAACTTCGACAACGTGAGATGGAAAGACAAATAAAACTAGACGTGTAAAAAAAATATGAATATGAATAAATAAGATGAGTGGATGGACGCTTGATTTTTCCTTAAATTATGTTCATTTCTAAATTTCATTGAAAAAAAAACAAGTAGACAAGGCCATTCTTTGTTATAAATTGGCAATTTGCTTCCGAATGGATTCTCTTTTTTTAAGTTATTATTTCACTATTCTCATCTTCTATTTTTTCATGTCATGGTACTATCATCAATTGAAATGTCACCAAAATTTTGCGTATTCTTTCGTTCTGTCAAATAATTCTACATTTAGACCCTCTCAAGACTCGAATTAATTTTCAGTCCGGGTTTAATCAAGGTTTAATCAGTGCATAGCCGGGATTTAATCAGGGCTTATTCAGAATTTAGCCAGAGTTTAACCCAGCTTCTGTCAGAAGTTAGTCGGGACCATGAATCAATATGAATAAGTATTCAACATAATAGACTGCTACCTGAGTTTAATAGAGATTTTTATATAAAAAGCTCATGACGGTATTGTGTAACTTGATAAGCAATGATGCTGTTCTCACCATTTTTCAACTTGATTAAGAAGCCATTGAAATATACTTTTCAAGCCCTGATTTAATTGCTATTACTGATTATTCTTTCAGTAATCAAGAAAAAACCGATTTTCTGTTTCAAATCGCATAAACAATGTGCTGTACCTCAACAACCAATTGTGCGACCCCCATCATATTCTGATAGAATCAAGAGAGTATTATTATCAATTTTTTGAGCCACGACTAATTCCATTTTGATGACAATTTGTTGAGTTATCGTTGAAAAATTGATTTCTGGAAAAGTGTCAATTTTTCCGAATCTGTATAAAAAAAAAAACAAAAAAATTCTAAGAGAATTAGAGGGCGAAGCCGAAAAATCCCATATTCCGACTTTTTATTTAACCTATATTTAATTACCCTAACAGAAAAACTCGAAAACTTAAATTTGAGCAATTACAAAGCTTCCATTCGGAAGCAAAAAAATGTGGCTTTTTTGGGAGTGAATAAAAGGAAAGTTTTAACACATTCCTCAACTCTGAAAAACATCTATTACTGGTGGCATAATGCACCAACAGGGGTGAGTATGAAACGTTCATTTTAAAGTTGAGTCATAGTGCAACTTTAAGAAGCGTCTGGATGAAGAAGCGTTACACGACCTGAACAAACATACATGTCCCAAGTTGGGTAAGAGGTGTGGGTTTGTCTTACCTCTCTTATCTCTGTCTCAGTGTCTCTCTCACTTTCGTTATTTCAAACTCAGAGAAATTATTTATTTCGATTAAATAAAACTGTCTTTTTAGTTTTTGGATTTATTGAACTCGATGGCTTTGTCAATTTCGTGATTGTGTTGGTAATGAGAGATTTGAGGAGAAAGCACAATTTGGGAATTTTTTTTTTCTTTTTGGATGAGGGTCAAATGGTCTTGTGGGTCAAACGACCTTTAATGATGTTCGCGGCTGAGGGTCAAATAGTCGTAAGCGTGGAACGACCCTTAAGGCCGATTAAAGTTGAGGGTCAAATTGTTTTGAGGATCGAATGACCCTTTTTATCAATTTGCTGAACCCATTCAACACGTAAAACCATTTGACCCTCAACCCTGAAGGTTCTTAAGAGTCGTTTGACCCGCAAGACCGATTAATCCTCAACTCCAAGCGTCTTTAGGCATTGTTTAACGAAAACCTTTTGTTTTTAGTTGAGGGTCAAAGGGTGTTGTGGGTCAAACGACCTTTAATGACGTTCAGGACTGAGGGTCAAATGGTCGTAAGGGTCAAACAACCCTTCAGGCCGTTAAGAGTTGAGGGTCAAATTGTTTTGAGGGTCGAATAACCCTTTTTATCAATTTGATGAACCCATTCAATACTCAGGACCATTTGACCCTTAACCCTAAAGGTTCTTAAGGGTCACTCACCCTCAAGAGCAATTGATTCTCAACTCCAAGTGTCTTTAAGCGTTGTTTAACCAAAACCTTTTGTTTTGAGTTGATGGTCAAATGGTCTTGTGGGTCAAACGACCTTTAATGACGTTCAAAAATGAGGGTGAAATGGTCGTAAGGGTCTTACAACCCTTAAGAACGTTTAGAGTTGAGGGTGAAATTGTTTTAAGGGCCAAATGACCTTGATGCATAAATGGTCATGAGGGTCAAACGACTCTTAATGAGGTTCGGGGCTGAGGGCCAAATGGTTGGAAGGGCCAAATTACCCTTAAGGACGTCGGGAGTTAAGGGGCAAATGGTTTGCAAGGTCAATTGATCTTGAGAATCAAGCGACCCTTAATGAGCTGCGAGGCTAAGGGCCAAATGGTCGTAAAGGTCCCACGACCTTTAAGGACGTTTGATATTGAGAGTCAAATTATTTTAAAGGTCAATTGATCTTGAGGGTAAAGCGACCCTTAATGAGCTTCGAGGCTAAGGGCCAAATGGTCGTAATGGTCCCACAACCCTTAAGGATGTTTGATGTTGAAGGTTAAATGGTCTGCGACCCTTAAAACCATTTGACCCATAACCCTGAACGTTCTCAAGGGTCGGTTAACTCTCAAAATCGTTTGACTCTCAACTGAAAAAAAATTCCTAAATTGTGATAAACAGTCTTTTTTTTTTTAAATAACCAATTCAATTTTCATTTTTCATCGTTTTAAAATCATTAGTTCAATGGAGCTCAACGACTGATTCATTAATCAAAATGAATAATTTCTCTTAGAGCACTTCGTATTAAATCACCATCCCATTAACTAAACCGATAAATCATCAAGAAATTTTACAAAAAATTGCAAAATTTATTCATTTCTTCTATCAATGAAACAAATCTGCTTATTCTCGTGTTATCGTAAATGATTGTTGCAATTCTGTAAAGTCAATTCTCTACCACAAATTCTCTTGACATGTTTTATCTTCTAAAATCACTCCTTTTGTTAAAATTTCTTTTCTCAATCGTCAAGCAGATTTTTTTCCTTGTCAGCGATGCAGAGAAGCAGAGTGACTAAATAATTTCATTACAATAATATAAATGATGGATGAAACATCAGAGTACATCTATTATACATGGAATATGTCATACCGAATACTGCAGTCCTGGGCCATCTCCAGAAAAGACATCTCTATTCTATTCAATACTTCTACGTTAAACTACTAAACTATCAATCCTGCAGTGCACGGGTCAACATTGACCTGGGTGATTGTACCAGTCGGTAAAAAATCACAGGGACTTCCCCCAGAGATTGATAAGAGTGAAATCAAACATTGAAACATACATGAACGAAGAGATGAGTCTGAATCCAATTAAATCCCAATTTCATCATCACGAGGAACTCAAAAACTCGATTATCTCAAAGAATAACGAGGTGGGAGAAATAAAAATTGGTTCGTTAGAAAGCCGGAGAAATTGGCTATCCAAAACACTGGTTAAGAATCCATTTTGCCCGTGTAGTTTACCCAACAAATGGAAAAAAATATTGAATGAATTAAATTTTAATTCATTAAATAAATTAGGGTTTTTCACCCGCTTTTCCCTAAACCATAGCAATTTCCACCTCAAACCTTATGTTTTCACCCAACCCACACCCTTAAAGGTTCATATGAGTAAAAGTCCGAGGGCTGAAACCAAGTCAAAGTCAAAGTTAAATTAACCCTCCAGTGGTCGCGCTATGGTCTGAACGCCGCCGTTTTTGTTATTTTCACGATATCTCTAGAAATGTGATGAATTACGCTCTGCCTATTTACGAGTTCCTCAAATGATATGTCCCGATGAGATTAAACACGGTAGGGTTACCCTACACTGACAATTTTTTTCTCAATTAATTTTGCGTCGAGCGCGGTTAGCGAGAATGAGCGCAGCGCTCACCGTGCGACCACTCTCGTAGTGGAAATTTGACGAGCGGTGTTGCCGACCCTCGTAGTAGTCCCAAGTAGCGTGTGCGGAGTGGGGGGTCGCTGGCCGGTGATATGTTCATAGTGTCGTATGGATCTGGCAACGCTGCGCTCGAGAATGTACGGACGGCGCAGCGCTTGCCACGCGACCAACGACGTCCGGCGAAGACATGCGACTACAGGAGGGTTAATTAAATTTAAGGGGAAACGGAACCCCTGCGTTCATATGAATCTTTAGAATTGTGTTTTCTCCTGCAATTATCACTCAACAATGCGATAATCGAGTCGATAAAGTAATTTCATGGATAGAAATTAATAATTGTAGGAGAAAACAATTCTAAGATTTGATGTAGACAAAGGGGTTCCGTCTCCCCTTAATACTCATTATAAGTACTCACCGAGTACTCTCTGTGAATTAATCCAGATTTTTTAAATATTCTGAAGGAATCTCGAATAAAAATGGATATCAGGAGAAGTTGACCTCAGAAAAAAAAAAGTTTGGACCAAAAAATCTAGGTTTTTACCTGAAGAAGGGGTGAAAAATGATGGATTTTTGTTTTTCTTTAAAAAAATTAAGGTAACACGATGATTCAAATTCAACATTTATCACTGAAAATGGAAATGGCATGGCTTAAATTTTAACGATCAAAGCTTCCATTCACAAGCAATAAATGAGTGAAATTAGGAAAACTCGAGTGCGTCTATCCCCTTATCACTTATCTTATCAAAAAGAGGTGAAAAATGATGGAAAAAAGTTCTATTCAATCCGCACGTTTCACCAAGCAGACTCTTCATTTCTGGGGGATGAATGCTCGTGCAGATTAGGCAGGGAGAACAAAAAATAAAAAAGGAGCAGGAAGCCTCGTGCAGAGGACGGGTGGTGGGTGGTGATGGTGGTTGTGTTGTGCTGTAGAGGGAGGGAGGGGGAGGGGGGGTTGCTTTTGGCATTTGCCGTGTACAGAGTTGAGTTTATTCGCCCTTGGAATAAATCAATAATGTTGGGAGAAGTCAACAGGAGG